CTGGGGAATTCTGGGAGTTGAAGTCCACGCATCTTCAAGCTGCCAAGGTTGAGGAACACTGAGTTAGACCATCTTGGAAAGGTGGCTGATCTGCTTGTGCTTAAAAGCATGGAAAACCCACAACCTCTAGAGGTACACTGCTCCACTGTAGGACAGATCTTATTCTTGGAAATGTTACATTGCAACGAAATCTGGGCAGCTGCAACTTAGACCTGCTATTTTTGTCTCTCTGGCCATGGGAAATAATGGATCATTATATTCCCCGTGTCACCCTTTTAAGTACCTGAGCACCGATATCATCAGGATAGAACACCTAAGCCCCATTTTGTTGTCAGGAAGGGTGGGATGGATAGAATAGAAAGGCTAAAGACCCACAGCTCTTCTTTGTGGGTTGCTAAACATCCACTGTTCTATTTGCTGCTTTGTCTAAAAACAGCAAGGGGTGGAAGAGACCAGTTTCTTAGTCGGTGCCATTGTTAGGATACTAGATCTTGGGGTCTTGGATTGCTAATGTTAATTGCTGCTTTGCTTTCTCATCATTGCAGGTGAAACCATGCAGCTCTTCATTCGTGCTCAGAATCTGCACACCCTTGAGGTGTCTGGACAAGAAACAGTAGCTCATCTTAAGGTAAAGAAATCATTTTTTGCTTTAAGTTGACCTTTCCTTTTGCTGATGAGCTGTTGTTACTGAAACAGAGTAGTATCTGTCTCCCCCAAATAAATCTTCCTTCAGACCAGGGCAAGTGCTGAAATCTTTTGAAGACTGAGACTTTCTTTTTCCTCTTTCTAAATCAATTTGGAATACTAAGTTGTTGTTGTTTGATTGGTACATAATTGTAATGAGTTTTCCATTTAATCAGCTTTGGCCAGCAAGTGGCAATATATAAAATTCAGAAAGAACTAGGATCACACTCTGAGTGTTTACTTGTATTTTTATTTCATAAGCATTTTTTTTATACCTCTGTGATCAAAATGACTCTCAGGGCTCATATACAATGTTTCGCTCTCTTTGTGCCTTTTTTTTTTTTAATTGTGGAAGCTGTTTGCTTCATGGGCTTTTTTCTCATTGTTCTTGCAGCTTCTGGTTTGTCATCTATTGCTTGGGTGAGAAATAATGCATTAACATAGTGTTTTAGGGCCAGCTTGCTGTCTTTTGGTCCTTTGCAGCCTGCTCTAGGATATTTACTTCAAGGTTATTGACTGAAAAGAAATGGCAGTGGTTGTTCTGCAAACTAGACTAATGTGAATTTCAGCTGTGCTAGGAGGGAAGACAGCTGAGTGGTAATCCTATATCCACACCATGAATTCTGTTGAAGGAACTGGAGGTGTGAGGGTGATCCTTTTCACCGCAGTTCTTGGGCAACATTTCCTCTGCACTTCCTACCAAAAGCCCCCAATTTCAATGCTTGATTACTTTATTACAGGTCATAGACCCAACATGGACCCCAAACCCTCTTCTTTTTTTCCTCCTTCCAGACGCATATGTCATGGGAAACACTCATAGTGTGGAAACCAATGAGTGCTGGCAGAATTTCAATGCAATGTTGCATTTGTAAGGCCTTTCCTAAGTATTGACAACTGCCAAGATCTGGAACATGAACTTCCATATAATGCCAAAGGACTGCTGGAGTCTCTCACCTACTTTTTCCTCACTGGAGGAAGTGTAAACTGTCTTTTCAGCATCTTTATCACCTTTTATACAAGAGCTGTTGTGGCTATTGAAAAATTATCTTTTAGCTTGTTTATACCCTTCATTTCCCTCCCTCTTCTTACTCTTTAGTGAGCTAAGTGTCAATTATTCATGTTCCCACTCATCTTCCTTCCCTGTTAGGCTCACATTGAATCCTTGGAGGGCATTGCGCCTGAGGATCAAGTGGTTCTTCTGGGTGGGATCCCCTTGGAAGATGATTCTGTCATTGGGCAGTGTGGCATCAGTGACCTTACAACATTGGAGGTTGCTGCACGCATGCTTGGTGGTAAGTACTAAACAGAGACCACCTGGGTGGAAGCTTGTTAGAAGAGGTATTAAATTCCAGAGCTGGAAGGTCTTCTCTAAAAAACTGTATATAGAAAAAAGAAAAGTTGTGATTTTTATCCTGCAAATTTCTCTAAGTTAGTCAAACATACAGTCATGATGTATTTAACCATAAGTTACTCTTTACTCAGTTAACACAATTTTATGAGTTTGGATAACTCACAAAACGATGAGGTAATAACCTCAAATTCATACAGTGTATAAGGCTAAAATGTGATTGGCTAGTTTGCAATTCAGTGTATAAGATTAGAAAAATAAAGTGACTGTTGAGTCAAGCCTCATTCCTGATAACTTCATGAATGACCTGTATTTGACAACAATACAGAAGTGGTTTGCCGCTACCCGCTTCTAGGTTGTTTTTTGACTTCCCAATCTAGCTTCCAATCGTAGGATTTCCTTGTGGTCTCCTATCCAAATACCAGCACTGGCCCTGCATTGCTTCCAAGCCCAGACCTGCTGGGTTGAGTTAGGTTCAAACAAAGGGCTAAATTCAGGTTGACAGCACCATTCCTGCATTCCCGTAATCTGCTATGCCAAACAAGTAATAGCTGGATTTTCACAGCATGCTGCGAAAATCAGTCAGCTCCATTTTAGTCCATGTAAATGTAGCCAGTATGTCTTTATCTTTGACTCTTTCATGAAGAATTGATCCAGTCTATTAACTTCATGGCCCCTTCCTTGCTGACTTTTTGATTAATAAGGCCGCTTCCTTTGCCGTCATATATGTTGGCTGTGTTTTCTGTTCCGTGTAAAAACAGCCTTCTTCATTTTACCCTTCGGCTTTTCTTCCTAGGTAAGGTCCACGGTTCCCTGGCTCGGGCTGGCAAAGTGAGAGGCCAGACGCCAAAGGTAGGCAGTCCAAGGTGACCCACAGTTGTGCGTGAGCGGGAGGGGCAGTTCTTCAGCATCCTTCGGCCGGCTGTTTGTGGGGCCACAAGGACAGCCGAGAGCTCTTCATGGTGCTGCCAGCAGAGAACCTTTGCCTAGAAGTGAAATTGGGCTGCCTTTCTTTTTCTCTGCTGAGTGGGAAAGAGTCATGCTACCAGCAGAAAGGCAGTGGGTTATCTCTGCAGGGAATTTAATAATTTATTATCTGCTTTTTTGTTTTTTATCCGCCTATCTGTTTTATTAGTGGTGTGGGAAAAAGCTGTGCTTGATTCCTGCTGCAGAGTTACTTAGGCTGGAAGCATCAAAGTGCTGTTTCCATTTTGCAGCCTTAGCCCTGGACTTGTCATTGTTCTTTTGGAAGCACACAATGGATAGAAGTCCAGCTTAGTAAATTGGCTAGTTTGCAGTTAGTAGAACTAGACAGTGGCAGCAGAAAAGCAGTTGCTGAATTCCTGCCTGTCTTAACTTTGGATTAAAGTAAAGGTGGATCCTATTTGTCCCTGTGACCAATTTTCTGTTCCTCAAATTCCCACTGGCTGCAACTCCCATTAGAAAGACCCTAAGTGATGTTGGACAATAACACTGGTCCAATACTTGGGAAAAGAAACATCTTCTCCTGGCTGCACGCATGATGCAGCCCTTCCTGCTACTGTTTTCATCTCTTCCCCAAGTGTTGCAGACACCTCCTGGCTCAGAAAAGTGTGAGACGGGGTATTTTTACATGGGGTGACTTAAGGAAAGGGCTTGAGACGGATCAACATCAAGAGCTAAAATGAAGCTTGGGAGGAGGAGGTGGTAGCTGGCCGAGGTCAGGGATCTCTTACTAAGGCCTGCTTGATGTTCTCTCAGGTTGCTAAGCAAGAGAAGAAGAAGAAGAAAACGGGTCGGGCCAAGAGGCGCATGCAGTACAACCGCCGCTTTGTCAACATTGTGCCAGGTTTTGGCAAAAAGAAGGGGCCTAATGCTAATTCCTAAATAGCACCCAGTCGTATAATAAATCAGATATTTGCCTGGACCATTTCCTGGTGTTGCTGCTTTTCCTGTTTGGGGCATGCTTGCATTCATCATTTGCCTCGTTGGCAAAAGGGGGAGGAGGAGGAGTTTATAGCTGCAGCTACTCAGAGCTGAGGAGGAACATTCTGTATACGGGAAATCTAGTGGGTTGAGAACCACTTTTTTATAGGATCTAGTTGGGCTCTCGCATTGAAGTGAGCCAAGTCCCCATGGGAACTTAAGAATTTGATGGTGGGAGAGGCCAAAGGCCAACAGCAGTCTCGCTCACAGAGTAATCAAGCAGATGCTTTTGGGAGTCTCAGAATTTTATGATATTTATCCTTTCATTTATTGTTTTCATTCTATTTTTAATTGCTAGCCACCCAGAGTCATGTACTTGAGATGAGTGGCCATATACATTAAACAAGTATATGTTTAGGCAAAGAGGTGCATTAGTATGCCCCAGACTTTTTAATATGTGCAAGATATATTTTTACATAGAAAGGCTGCATCACAGAAGCCCTTGTCTGAAACGTAGCAGCTCAGTAGTTAATGTCTTTATAGCTCAGTTGCTATTGCTCTCCGGGATCACTCCTCTCGCTACAACTTGTCCATTCTTCTGGTCAAGGATTTGGGACATGCCGAGGGTGTTGGGTCGAAATTGTCTTGTGGATCATTCCTGCTTGGAATTTAGTAATATGTACAATACACTTAACCTGCGTACTGAGTTCCCACAATACATGGAACCATAACCTAAACAAACGGGGTTCACATCACAAGCTAAGGCAGGAAAAACAAGATAGTTTTATGGTTTTAATCCACCCTGTAGTTGGAGTTCTGCAATATCCGCGCTGGTTTGCCCTGTTAACTTTCAAACAGTATTTCTGGCCCTGCTGTGCATCTCTGACTGTTGTGCCATGATGGGAGAAGTGCAGGCATCTCGGATCTGCTGGGTTAGGGAAGAATAGAATTAGCCACAGACAGAAGTTTTAGAGTTTCACAACCAGAACAGATAAAAGCGCTCTCTTGGTTAGTTTATTTTAATATTCCAGATTAACCCTTTTTTATGAACAAAAAACAATTCAGTGGCCCTGTTGTGTGACCCCAGCCGCTTAAGCCTTGATCTGCAAGCAACAGTGTTTATGATTAAATGTTGCAAACCACAGTTGAGCCTATATGAATAGCTTCTGAGCAAGGCAGCAGAAGAGGGAAGGATCAGGCGAAGAGGAGGCCAGGTTCATCCTGCAATCCCATTTTCCTGGCATGTATGTAAAAGGCTCTGAGTTGATCTTGACTCCTAGTAATAAGCACGGGACCAGTTCTCTGGCTAACAGTATGGAAGCGTTTTGCCAAAGGCTTCTGGGATATTTTGCAGTTTTCCACTTTACAGTACTAAGCAGATCAAACCTTTTAGAATAGTGTTTCTCAACCTGGGCAAGCTGTGCTGGCTGGGGAATCCTGGGAGTTGAAGTCCACACATCGTAAAGTTGCCCAGGTTGAGAAACACTGATTTAGAGGTTTAGAGATCAGCTCAAGTCAGCCAGGGGCTGCCGGTGGAACTGGTTCTTTCTTGAAAAAAGCATTTTTACAGTTTTAGGAAAAAGGACCGCGGAGCGAGGGGGGTAAAACTAACTCAAGCACCCGTTCTTAAAGCTACAGCTGCCTTCAAATCCCTCCCCAGCCTCTAGAAGACGTCCGAGAAAAGTTAAGGAAACGATCTCTGCACGCTACACAACAGTTCCTGTGGGGCCCGGTGCATCATGGTCGATGCAGTTTTCTTCTGAGCTGATGCAGGCGGTAGCTGCGTTGGCAGGACTACGTCTCCCACCGCCGCCAAAGCGCTTTCCAAGCAGCGCCTGCGCCGAAAGACAGAGCGAGAAGGGAAGACGGTTCCCCTCGCCGGAAACTCCCGAGCGTGCTCGGGGTGCCTCGGCCGCCCTTCCGCTCATGGAGGCCGCGAGTTCGAGCCCCGCGGGCAGCCCTTGCTGCGGGCTGTGCCAGGCCGAGCGGGCCCCATACACCTGCCCGCGCTGCCACCTCCGCTTCTGCTCCGTGCCTTGTTACCGGGAGCACGGCTTCTGCGCCCGGGACTTCCAAAACCGAGAGCTGCAACTGCGGCTCCAGGGCCAGCGGGGGGATGTGAGTGCGCGACGCCGCCTGAAGGAGGCCCTTCTCCGGCTGGAAGAGCTACGCGACCCCGGGGATGCAGACCCCGATCTAGGCCTCGACCCGCACGGGGAGGACCTGTGGGACCAGCTGACCCCTCAGCAGCGCCAGACTTTCCAGCAGCTGCTGAGCAGCGGGAAAATCTCGGCAATTTGGCGCCCCTGGCAGCCTTGGTGGGCTGTGGGCAACCGGGGGGCATCCCTGATCCAGGAGATTGGAGCTGAGGATGCCCCAGACTCGGAGAACTCCTTGCAACAGCAGCCGCCGCCTGGAGCCACCCAAGGCCTGGAGGCCTCACCCCGTCTTCCAAAGGAAGGGACCGTGGCAGGAGACCCGAGTCTTCCTCTGGCCCGGGGGTCGAATTCGGTGCCCGCCCTGCCTGGGGTGATCCCGCCGCTGAGCACCCTCACCAGCGCCCCCGTCTCCCCTCTGGTTCGCTTCCAGCTGCCCAACGTCCTCTTCGGCTATGCGTATGCGCTGTCGCTGTACAACGGAGAGGCCGACGATGCCGAGCTGCTGCCCGAGTTCTGCGGGACGGTCCTGGACCTCTCGGCTGCCCTGGGGGCCCAGCGGGTGTTCTCCTCCACGGGGGAGGCCCTGCAGGCTGCCCTCCAGGCAGTCACGGGCAGCCTGTACCCGGAGTGCCCGCTGGGGAACGCCGGGGTGATGGTTGCTGTGGCCCAGATTTTGATGGGGCCCTGCCAAGCCGAGCAGAGCAGGTTCAGCCTGGCTGCCCTCGCTCACCTTTCCAGGCTGCTGGGCAGAGCGAAGCGGCAGGTGCCCTCCGAGGACCAGCCCAGGATGTACAAGGCCAAGAAGAAATGTGAATTCCTGCTTTCTTGGGTGAAGGAGCATGGGGAGGAACTCACCCTCCTGGCTTTGGAAGTCCAGAGGGAATACAAGGCCCATCGGGAGGCAGCCAAGGAGGTTGGCGGTATCACCCAGGAACTAGAGAAGATGTGGGGAGGGAAACTCCCCCCTTCCAAAAAGCCTCTGATGGAAGAATTGGACTGAAGGCGCTTCTGCAAAGGATTAGATGCTTGATGCCTGACTCGTGGATAGGAAAGGGCCTGGGGAAGAATGGGACCCTCTCCCTGCCAGAAACCTGATTGGTTTTGCGTTGCAGCACAGGTTTCCCAGTAGCTGAAGCAAAACACAGGCATCAGAATGGAACAGATGAGCCTGGTTTTTCTCCCCCTAAACTGGACACAGATTGGGTGGTAAGAGTGGGAGGGTGGTAATTAAAAAAAAAAAAGATATCCTTGGCTTGTTTCCGGCTTCCTTTTAACCTGGTTAACATACAGTACACAACTGTGGAGTCCTCGGGGTTCTCTGAGCTTGGTTGTTTTCTTGCAAACACTTTGTTACCCGGCTGGGTCACATCTTCAGTGCTAGAAGGGAGTGGGGTTTGCCCCCTGTTTATATACTGTGGCATGACCTGTCAGTGTTGGTGGGAGTGGGGGTTTCCACCAACACTGGCAGGGCATGCCACAGTATATAAACAGGGGGCAAACCCCACTCCCTTCTAGCACTGAAGATGTTACCTAGCTAGGTAACGAAATGTTTTCAAGAAAACAACCAAGCTCAGAGAACCCCAAGGACTTCACAGTTCAACCCTGAGCTACACGTATTCTCTTCTACTGATACAGTACATAAATATGTTTACTTGGGAGTCAGGAGTGAAATCACTTTGTACTCCTTAGTGAATTGAAAATTGTTCCCCTGTGTATAAGAAGTGTGGAAAGGGGTGATAACTGAGCGATCTGAAGAACAGGCTTAACAACTGCCTTCCGATTCTTTTGACAAGTTCCCATCATCTCTGACCATTCAGCCACATGGGCTTTTGGTAGGGGCTGATGGGAACTCAACAAATATGAAGCAACAGTTCTTTAAAATGTGTAGAGGAATAGGCTGCTGTGCAATTTGGAAGGCAGATTTCCACTAAGTAAGATCAAAACTACAGTATTAATTTCAAAGTGGGACATCTAAAACGAATATTCAGAGATGAATGTGTATCTTGTGCCTCTTAACAATAACAGCTGTCCCCCCCAAATAATGCAAAGTAGAAGTGTTGCAAAAATTGTATTCCAAATCCAACAGTTTTTAATCACCTTTATTTATATGCTTCCTTCTTCAATCTCCTTTCAAAACTGTAGAAGCCAATAACTCCTTAATTCTGAAGGTAACCAAGGGAGCAAATCCAGTTCAACTCTCCATGTTGGGTCACCTCAAGATTCCTCTGCCTGCTTTATTTTGCCTCCCTTGTTCCAGTAATTAAATGGTTGGGGGGTGAACTTGAAAACCCTTCATCTTCCTTCAGTTGTTCTATGGACACATGTGCCTCTGCACCAGAAGTAAAACAAAAATTGAATAGATTTGTTATTGTTGCCAGTGTGACTCAGAGAGATCCCCTTCAAAACATATTTCATCACTAACTAGAAAGAAGCAACTCACGATTTCCCATTGCAAAGAATATTCATATTATTCCCAGCATCATATTATTTGCTATTCAAGAGCAAAAAACACATTTGAGTTTTAAATGCTCTCCTTTTAAAAGCTGGCATTCTATGGATGTTAACCCCACCCCAACCTCCCAAAAAAGCATTCTACAATTTAAAAGCCCTGAGCTTAGTTAAAGCCATAAAAAAACACTAAAAGTGAGTGTTCTTATGTCTCTTTTTGAAAATCTCTGTAATACATGTTTTCAAAAAGTGAAATTTTAGACACTCCAAATTACATCCAGTTCTCCTATTATTTCAGCCTCCCAGTTAGTATTGCTTTGTTAATTTGTATAAATAGGGCTTGTAGTTTTAACGGATGCAGAAGCTTACTTCCCAAGGATCTTGGCCCTTTAATCTCTTAAAAAAACATTCAGCTGTTAGACCTTCCTACTGAACACGCACAAACATGGCGAAATGTTAGAAGATCAAGAAACGTCACCAAGGTGCTTTGATTGTTCCAGTGATATCCCTTCTCTTATTCTCTAGAAACAGAATAAATCATTAAAAATCAGTTTATTTCCATAGAAATTAGTCCAGCTCCAGAATCTACATTTCTTGGGTCTTTTCATATTGTGAACAAAATTGGAACAAATTCAAGACTGACAAAAGGACATCAAATGAAGATATCTTCCAGGCAGTGCAAATGAAGCAGGAGAATGTTCATGGAAAACAATCCAGCCCTGTCAGTTGAGGAAAGTTTTGGGAAACAGCCGTGTACAGCTGACACTTCTGTCTGCTTGCCAGGGGATGCTGGTGTCTTGTTTCTCTCGCTGGCCTAAGGCCAGAGCACAGTTGTGCCCAGAGACGAGTCCGGGGGCATTTGGAGACGGGCGCTTGAGAACTCAGTAGAGATAGGGGAAGATCCGATAGGGGACGCGGCGGCAATATTCTTGCCACGCCAGCCCGTACTTCCTCAGGCACTGATGCTCGTCCCTGGCCTCCCGATGGGCCAACAGCAAGGTGAAATAGATGATATAAAAATAAGGTAAGATGTGAGTGAATCCTGCACCGAAACAAAAAGGAAGCCCATCTTACTTTGCTGCAGAACAACGAAACTGGAGCACATCCTAGCTGGTTCCCAACTTACCACAGGGCAAGGACCACGCGAGAGCCATGATGAGGTCTCCTAAATAGTTGGGGTGACGCACAAAACCCCACCAGCCCGAAACAAGAAGGCGCCGTCCGGTTGCCGTTGGGATTGTCCGGAGCCCTGGGGGAAAAGGAGACCCTGTCCTCATTCAGTCAGGATGCTGACGTGGAGATCACGGGCACTGGTGAAGCTCACAGCTTAGCAGTTCAGAACTGACGTGATGCCAACACGTCAAACACAACAGCAATTTGAGGACATTGACTATTTTTAGAGCAAAAGCAGCATTTTATGTAAACCCCAAGGAGGGGTCCAAACTTTTGGGGGAGTGGGCATGTTCAGAAGGCTGACAGCATGCTGCCAAAAATGGCCACCACGGGGGAGTGACCAGCTGACAAGCAGTGAGGGTGCTTCCTGAGTCACTGTCACCCATCCCGCATCCCTGGACACACTTCCACTTCTGTCTTCCATTCCGGTCCTCTTTCCTAGGCAGCTGGGCAGACCCATCCGTCTGCAGCCAGCCAGTACTGTTCCTTTCCAAAAATGTGTGGGGAACATTCACGGACTCAGACATTCCCATAACAAACGAAAGGATACACGCAATAATCAATGAAACTGATGCACTGAAAAAAAAATTGAGCTCCGCAAAAGGGAATCAATTGTGACAGCACAGGGCACCCTGCTCTGTCACATTATGGATTCGTTTGCACACTGCAGGCTCTTGGCCGGCTTACTGAAATGTCCTGGGTTGCGCAGCCCACTGAACCGCAACCTTTCCAAAGAGTTGGGTTCTCCCACGTGCGAAGGCCTCTGCTGCACAACATCTCCTCTTAATAGCCTGGGTTAAAAGTAAGCAGGTCTACCATGGTGTGTAAATGCACCTGCCAAGCTTGGGAGCTGGTTAAGTAGATCATGTGGACCCACCCCATAAACTGAAACTTGTAGGAGTTACAAACCAGCCACTCTGGGATCAGCAGGATTCCGGCGGAAGGTGTTTTTCTGGGAATTGGCACCACGGAATATGGAATACCCCAGGCCTGCAGGTACCAGAAGAAAAGAGAAGGAGACTATTGTATTGAATCATAGTGTCACAGAGCTGGAAGGGACCTTAGAGATCATCCAGTCCAACCTTTTCATCACAGGCTCCATTAGATGGATGGCCATCCAGCCTCTGTTGGAAGACCTCCAGCAAAGGAGAACTCGCCACTTCGTGGGGCAGCCTGTTCCACTGGTCAGCAGCTCGTTGTCAGAAAGTTCCCCCTGACATCTAGCCTGAACCTCTTTCGATGTAATTTGGCATCTGTAGCTCTCTGGGCAGCACCAAGATGGGACACGCCAACACAGATACATAAATACAGAGCTCAGGATGCACAGCCGGTGGCCTCGCAGCCCCCAAAGTGTGACGCCCAGTTGAAGTGCTGCTGTGACCAGAGGGGAGAATTCTTAAACCCGTGACAGCAGCCATACTCCTGGGCCAAGAGGCTGTGCATACCTGGCTTAGCTACTAGGAGCCGGGGGCAGACTGGAAAAACAAGAAAAGCTGCTCATTGATCGTTTTTGCCTTTGAGGCTAGGAGTTCAGTTTGTTTTATCTGTTCACTAATGTTCTCTCCTCCTGAACTTTGAGGCTTTCTCTCTCCCAAAGTTCAAGGAATAATCAATTATCAGAAAAGGAAAGTGCTCTGCAAACGGGGCTGAATATGATTGACAGAGCAGGAATCTTGACCACAGTCTGTCTTACTTTCCAATTTCCATGTTTTGCCATCAAAAAGTTTTTCACTCCTTTTCTACTAGAGCTCAGGATAAACTAGTGGTGATTATCTGGAGTTCTAGTCTTCCTCAGACGTGGATGCTCACTGGATGACTTTGGGCCAGTCACGATCTCTGAGCCCAACCCACCCGATGGGGTTGTTGTGGTGGGGAAACTTAGGAGGAGAAGTTGCTATTCTTCCTTAAGCTCCTAAATGAAAGCTGGATTACCAATCTAATCAATAAACAATGGAAATAGAAAGCCCAGCTTGCACGTATTTTCAACAACAGCCAAGAGGAGAAGAAGAAAGCATTCTGTGCATGCTCAGAGGGCCCGTTTGCAGCCCAACTCACCATTTAGCAGGACAATGCCCCCAGCTAGAGGCAGGCTAAGCTTCTGGGGGTGGGTTACGAGGAAGTATGACTGCAGGCTGTACAAGAACGGCACCCAAGCCAGGTCTCCGTAAGCGAGCATGAAGCCAAAGCCATCGTGGACAATATCCATCGTGGTGAGAATGGCTTCCTGCAAAACATTTACAAGCTCCAGCCACAAATTCTTCTGCCCTGACCCAGCTGTGCGAATGGCTGCAGGTTACTCAGCGCAGTGAGTCAAGCCAGATGGTATGACCAGTCTTCTCCAACCTCGTACCTTCAGAATTATTGGAAGATGCTGTCATGTCTTCCCTTAGCCTTCTCACCCAACGCAGGTCCTTAACTGTTTTTCATAGGACTTAGCCTCCAAGCCCCAAGATTCACTGAGGCCTTGATGGCCTCCAGCTTACAGGCGCTAGATGTGGCCTGGTGGATCTTCCTATAAAATGCCACCTTGCCCATCTGATCTTTGCTAGGTGTATTCTGTGCACCTGAAATCAGGGCTAATAAAGCACTGAACGGTAGCATCCTCCAGGCAGCAGCGAACGAATCTCAATGTTAATGACTTTTTTTAAAAAAATTAAAGTTTCTAGTCCACATAGCTACCCAGAAAGCTGTCATATGGAAAGGTGGGTAATTTGCAGACTCAGCCCTGCCTCTCCTCCTAGAGTTCCTACAAGAAGCCTCTCTTCCAAGTGCTAAAGAAAATGTAGGAATTCAGGGTTCTTGTAAGCCACGAAATCCAACCCCAAAGGATCCCTAACCTAGACTGTGCTTTGTAAAATTTGAGGAATTTACTGTTTGGAAAGCTCCAAGTTCTGATCTTGAGATGGGCACCAAATGTCATTACTGGTGACTGAATTAACCCATTTTCTGGGTTGACATCAAATGTAGACCAGCCCAACAGCCCCTGTGTGAAATCAACAGCATAGAAATCCCATTCAAAAGGGATTTGACTTTTTTGACCCCCTTCCCCATGCCTTAGCCTACCTCATGCCAGAAGGCGTCCACCACATAGAGAAGCTGGAAGGCGTTGACCAGGATCATGGCCAAAGACGGGCTGCCTCTTAGCTCAGTCTCTTTCACTAACATCGCCATGTTGATCAGCGCCTAAGGGAGGCGGGAGAAAGTCAGCCCAGGCCCACCTTCAGCGTCCCCATTCATTTCTCACTTGCCATTACCCCTTTAACCCTGTTATAGGTTTTGACAGCTGGAGCCTCTCCTTAACACAGCAGAGGGGGAGGAGCAAAAAGAGAAAGTGGGCGGAGCAATGAAGAAAAGGGTGGGCCCACATCAGACCCTGGGCTTGAGGGGCAGATATTCTTTAAAAAGTCATTAAATCAATTTAGCATTTAGTTATTTTTATTGATTTATGATTTCTACGGCTGCCCCCTTGGCAAATGACTTGCAGGGTGGCTTGCAGAAAGCTAAAACAAGTAAGAACAATCAATTAAACCAGTGTTGTCCAAACTTGGCCACTTTAAGATG